AAAAAGACCAAAAGAAAAAAAAAAAAAAAAGAAAAGAAAAGCAACCAGGTCCAGGCCATGTGCCCTCAGGTCCTTCCCAGAGAGCAGACCTGGCCGGGCGCCCTTCCCTGGTGGGCAAGACTCACATACTTGCCTCTCCTGCCAAGCAGATAATGTAAACAATGATACAAAATGCTCCATTGGATAAACAACAGGAGATTGTTTTAACAGAAGCATCCCCCCTGTAATGTATACTAAAAAGATTACTTGTTTATCTGGAATTCAAGATTATCTAGGCATCTGTTTTGTGATCATGATGTCCCCAAAGTACACAGATGTCTCCCAGCTGGTGGCACCCTCTGGCCACTCAGCGGGGTGAGGGACCAGATTTTCCATGAGACAGAGGTATGGAGGCAGACAGAGAGATGGGTGAAACCCACAGAGGGGACTGGGGTGCAGCTCAGAGGCAGAAAGCTCGCTCAGCATGGGTGAAGCTCTGGGTTCCATCCCCAGCACCCCCCCCCAAAAGGCATAGAGGGCTGAGGAGACAGAGGTAGCTCAGTGGTAAAGGGCTTGAGTCCAGGACCGGAGAGATGGGTCAGAGGTTAATTAAGAGCCCTGACTGTTCTTGCAGAGGACCCAGGTTTGATTCCCAGCACCTACATGATAACTAACAACCATCCATAGCTCCAGTTCCAGGGGATCCTACACCCTATTCTGACTTCTGATGACATGGGTGCACTTACACACATGCAGGCAATACACTCATACACATAAAATTAAAAAAAAAGGACTTGCGTTCAATTCCCAGAATCCATGTAAAGAAGCTATGTATGGCGGTACATGCTTACAACCCAGTGCTGGGGAGGCCAAGACTAGAGGCTCTCTGGGATGCACTGACCAGCCAGTCCAGCTGAATCAGTGAGAGAGACCCTGCCCCCAAAAATAAGTTGGAGGGCCAGGCGTGGTGGTGCACACCTGCACTAGGGAGGTAGAAGCAGCTGGATCTCTGTGAGTTCAAGGCCAGCCTGGTCTACATAGTAAGTTCCAGGCTAACCAGGGCTACATAGCAAGACCCTGTCTCAAATAATACTAATAAGGTGGAGAGGGATTGAGAAATATGGCCCACATTGACCTATGGCCTTCACATGCATGTGCACATACATAGTAACACATATTCACATACACGCACGCACACACACACACACACACACACACACACACACACACACACACACACGACAGAAAGACCTAGCGAGATAGAGGAGGAATCCAACATGGAGTCAGAAAGGCTGGCATGGGGGCTCACCCTAGGGAGCACCCGAGCCCCACACCCAGAGGCAGCTGACCTCCGGCACCCTAGGAAGCTGGCCAGCTTTTTACAGCATCCACAATAGAGAGTCAAGGCACCTTGACACGTTTCTAGTGTGAAGCCCCTTGGCTTCCAAACCCAAGTCACCACAGCCCAGTTCCCTTGGGCTCCTCCATAAGCCATCTTGTGAGATGCTGGAGGTCCCTAGGGAAGTTGAAAGCAGCCTGGCCTGAAGGGACCTGAGGGCAGTGGCTCCCCATAGGTGAATATCCTATAGAGTCAAGAGCTCAGCAGGACCAGGGCCAGAATCAGTTGTCAGGTAGAGACCAGCCTGGGTCCCATGTCAGCCAGGTGACCTTGACTAAATCACCCATAGCGTAGGATAATGGCACCACTTGTCCAATCTCTTGGGCAATTGGGAGGCTCAAGTACAGCATTAGACACAAGAGCTTGGAACACCCCTGGCCAGGACAAAGAAAGCGCTATTAAGATGAATTATGGTGCCGGGTACGGGTGGATGGAGGCAGCTCTGGGAGTAAGCTGGGGCTAAGTTAGACTGTGATGGGTTGGTTTCTGTTTCATTCCTCTGAAATGGGAAGCCAGCTATGGTTCTTGAATGAGACCTGTAACAATGTAAGCCTGTGGTCCCGCAGGACAGATAGCCTGGGTTTGAATTCCAGCCCTACTACTCACACCTGGAGGGTACGACACAGCCTCCTCAGTCTCAACAGCCAAGTCTATTCAGTGAGGAGGACTGAGGCGACTGAAGGGGTGGGCATATTCGTAAAACACTCGAAATCAGTGAAAGCCATGATTTTATTTCACTGCTAGGGAAACTGAGGCCCAGGAGAGAGGCAGCCAGAATGTGGGCTCCAGAGTCCTTGTTCAGGGCTTATGCCCAGCATGGAAGCTATATATTAGGATGACCAATGGGGCAGTTGCTGGGAGGAAAGCTGAGCCGGGGCAGCAGGATCTGGATTCCCCATTTTCTAGAAGACAAAGGAAGTGTCCAGAGTCTCTCCCAGGCAAGCCACCAATGACTGACAGGCAAGTCCCACACCCTGGTTTCTCGAAGGTACTAGACCATGTTCTTAGCCCAGCTGAGGCCATCCACAGCCCTTCCAGGCAGCTTGAGTGAGTAGTGGCTGGTGATCACGGTAGGGGGACCAACCTTGCAGGAATCATGGCACATTTCCCAGGACACAGACCTCACAGAACTAAAACATGGGCAGGAGCTGGCAAGATGACTCAACAGGTAAACAAGTACTTGCTGCCAAGTCTGACGGCCTGAGTTCAATACCCAGGGCTCTGAGACTCCCCCATTCCCACCTGGTTCCATTTATAGGCAGGTCAGAGCTCCTTCAACAAACAGCCCATGTAGGCAGAAGGAGATGCCCTGTTGATCCAGGAGGGGCTCCATGGCCACAGAGCAGAGTTCCAAAGCCATTTTCTATGCCAACCCCTTCAAGGTATCTTCCAAAAAACTGAGGCCCAGGGAGGAACAGCCAGTGGTTCAGGATGGCATGGCTTTGGGACTGCCTAAGAAAGACACAAACTCGGGCTGGAGAGATGGCTCAGCAGTTAAGAACACTGGTTGTTCTTGCAGAAGACCTGGGTTTGAATCCCAACACCCACATGGCAGCTAACAACTGCCCGTAACTCCAGTCCCAGGGCATCTGATATCCTCCTCTGACCTCCACGGCACGGGTGCACTTACCTACATGCAAGCAAACATGCATACACATAAAATAAAAATAATACAGGGCTGGAGAGATGGCTCAATGGTTAAGACCACTGACTGCTCTTGCAGAGGACCCGGGTTCGATTCCTAGCACCCACATGGCAGCTAACAACTGTCTGTAACTCCAGTTCCAGGGGACATGACACCTCTTCTGACTTTCTGTGGGCATTGCACAACACAGGTACACTTACACTACATGTAGGCAATCCACTCATACACATAACCTTAAAAAAAAAGGATATATGGAGTCATTTTTGTCTCACCTATTAATCTAGACTGGCCTCTAACTCCTCTTGCATCAAGCCTCCCATGTGCTGAGGTGACAGGCATGTGCCAGCTACCACACCTGTCTCAAGTAAACCAGGAGAAGATGGCTGGCCCTGTACTGTGGCCTCAAATAAATAAATAAATAAATAAATAAATAAATTTTTTTAAAAAAGACACAAACTCAAGGCTCCAGCCCCATTGTGGGGACCATGAGTTTCTATCCTGACTAGGGGAGCAATGTCTGGGTCTTCAACAGATGAGGTGGGCTAGGCTTTCTGAGGCATCTATAACAGCAATTTTTGGGGGTGCTGGGGATAAAACCCAGAAACTTGAGCATGCTAATCACACGCATAGCATTGCCTGGCATTCCAGCTCAGCTTGGACTTTGAAGAAGGTTTAGGGTGACCAACACTTTTTATTTTGTACAGGGTCTAATTTTTTTTTTTAAACAAGATCTCATGTAGCCCAGGCTGGCCTCAAATTCTTTATTTAGCCAAGGATAACCTTGAACTTCTGATTCTCCTGCCTCTATACCCTTAGTGCTAGGATTATAGTCATGAGCCACCGTGTCTGGTTTATGTGGTTCTGGGAATCAAACACAGGACCTTGTGCATGCCAGGCAAGCCTTCCACCAACTGAGCTCCATCCCCAGCTCCAGCAGTACTTTTCAAAGGCCCTAGGTACAGCCAGAGTGGAGAAACGTCACTACAGAGAAGAGGCTGCCACCTCATCACCAGGCATGGGCCCTTCAGAGAGACCAGTTAGAAAGAACTTTGATGGGAAGGCTGTGACAGCATCCCACTAAAGACCTGCCCAGTGGACCTGGGTCATGGACTTCCCATCTTCTGGCTTTTTCCAAGTGCTGCTTCTGGGGAGTCATTCCAAGGTGAGTGAGATCCACCTCACCGTCAAGCCATCTGGCCTGGCTTTAGGAGGGGCTCGGAAGCATGCTTCAACCCATGAGTACCACCACCTCCCCACTGCATGTGGATCAGACCCAACTCTACCAGAGTTTCCAGGATGTGCCTCAGGGTGCACACAGGGGGCCCTTCAGCCAAGTCTGCCACCTCTGAGGTTCCACAAGCCCTGTCAGAACCCCAATCTTTGTGAGACTCCACCCTGTGGCTGAGTCCCCATCACCAGTGTCACAAACTGTTTGAGTCTCAAGGCCTGGCTTTTCTTAGCTTATTCTCCGAACCTGAGTAAGTCTTTTTTGCCCACCAAGCCTCAGTTTCCCCATTCAGAAGATGGACGGGTGAGACCCAGAGGCTATCATCGGGCCACCCTGGGGACTGCTTTCCAAGCCCGTCATGACAAGTCTCAAAGGTGGCAGCCCCATGGGACAGATTCCCAACAGTGAGTCACATATTAGAGGGATGTCTGCTGAGTGCCTCCAACCCATTTTTTCATTGAAGTCTGTGGCTGTGGCCCTGGGGAGGCCCCCCACCCCCGCACCCCCAGAGTCAGTCAGGGAGTTTGATTTGGGCCAGTATGATCCATATTCTCTTTTTTCCTGCCAAGGCGGAAGTCACAGCCCCACACCTCAGCTGCCTCCAACCCATTTTTTCATTGAAGTCTGTGTGGTGTGAGCAGCAGCTCCCCCCCACCCCCGCACCCCCAGAGTCAGTCAGGGAGTTTGATTTGGGCCAGTATGATCCATATTCTCTTTTTTCCTGCCAAGGCGGAAGTCACAGCCCCACACCTCAGCTGCCTCCAACCCATTTTTTCATTGAAGTCTGTGGCTGTGGCCCTGGGGAGGCCCCCCACCCCCGCACCCCCAGAGTCAGTCAGGGAGTTTGATTTGGGCCAGTATGATCCATATTCTCTTTTTTCCTGCCAAGGCGGAAGTCACAGCCCCACACCTCAGCTGCCTCCAACCCATTTTTTCATTGAAGTCTGTGGCTGTGGCCCCCAACAGTGAGTCACATATTAGAGGGATGTCTGCTGAGTGCCTCCAACCCATTTTTTCATTGAAGTCTGTGGCTGTGGCCCTGGGGAGGCCCCCCACCCCCGCACCCCCAGAGTCAGTCAGGGAGTTTGATTTGGGCCAGTATGATCCATATTCTCTTTTTTCCTGCCAAGGCGGAAGTCACAGCCCCACACCTCAGCTGATAGCCCAACCAACCCCAAGAAGGGACCCCGTGGTGTGAGCAGCAGCTCCGGTGCCTTGTAAGACAGAACTGGCCAGGCTTCATCCCTCTGAGCCCCACCATGCACCTGTGAATACACATTTCCAGCCTCTTGTCAGGAGCAAAGGGGCTGCCCACACCCCCAGTCTGGTGCTTAGTCTTACTTTCCTTTCCTGAGCCTTGCCTGGGCCTCTCCCACCATGGCCAGGCAGAATCCCACTCTCTTCTGTCCTTCAAGGCTCTGGCTGGACTCTTCTTCCAGGAAGCTTTCACTCAACCCAGGCTGATTCCTCTTTCCTCCAATCTTTCTAGGACTCAGAGACTGTTCCCCAGTCAGCTGGTGCATGGCAGGCTTGGGGACACTTGAGACTGTACACAGACTCAGGAAAGAGCCTTAACATGATGGCATGCTAATGACGGTGATAGATGCCATAATGGAATGGTCCACACATGCTAGATTGGCTCTGCGTTCTGCAAGCAGAGTCCCACCCCTTCCCCCAGCCACTCTTTGAAGGAAGGGCCAAACTCCCTGCCTCTCCACTCATTGGCTGTGTGACCTTGAGCAGGTTAGTTAACCTCTCTGAGTCTCATTTTCTGGATGAGGACTGCCCTCACCTCTCAGCTGTGATGAGGGATGTAACCTGGGTAAAGGACGTAGGATAATGCTCGTCACCCAGAGCATGGTGTCCAGTCCCCTCATTGGTGTCACTATTCCTTCTACTTGGCAGAGAAAGAGGCAGAGATGAGGCAGGAAAAAGGCTTTCTCAAGGTCAGACAGCCAGAAGTCACAGAGTCAGGGTCGAGCCACCATCCTGTTACCCTTTTATGTAGGCCTGAGCCAGGGCCAGCAATCATGCCATTCCCAGCAAGTGCCCTCTGACACAGTCTGGTTCTGTCCCCCCACCCCCACCAAGACACAAGTCCTTCCTGCAGCCCTTACTGGACAGTAGCCCGGTCCCTTCTAAAACCATCCCTTCCCGTGCAGGCACAGAGTTTGCTTGTACATCTGAGTGTCTCAGAGCCTGACACACACAGTACTTCAAAAAGCCCATGATGAGTATGTTAATACATGACCGAGGCTCTCTATCTCCCAGGGGGGCTGGCCATTGGGTGCATGAACCCCCTTTTGACGATACTGAAGGCCCCCACTTCCCCATGTCTGTCCTGTCCCCAGTCTTCCCATTGATCCCATTCCATAGCCCATCCTCTATCCTCAAAAGCACCTCTGGGAGAAGAAGCCAGCCCCAGCTTCCTGGACAGGTCAAACCGGAGACATATCTACCCAACGGGCCCAAGGCATCCAGGCACTGAGTCACTCCCAAGGGCACGCAGCCCTGGAGCAGGCCATGGCGCCAGGCGGCATCCACCCCTCCTCCCTTCTCCCTGTCCTGACCACTTCTCTGGGTGCCACAGAATCCCCTCATGGCCTACCCACCCTCAGCCAGATTTTAGCTCCAAGTTTGTAGTTTGCCTCTGACTTGGTTCTCTCCTGTGACCAGCAACTCACTCCCTCTCATCCATGCCCCGGGACCTCTTTTACTTCTAATTTTTGAGCTCTTAGTCTGGGAAACTTGTTCTCAAAGGATGTGTAACTTTGACCTGGAAACATTTTTGATTGTCACAGGAGGGTTGGGAGTGTTATTGGCCCCAGAAGCTAAGGATGGCGTTCACCATCCTACATCCTCAGTATGGCACAGTCTTACAACTGAGTCCGAGGAGGGGACAGGGAGGCCTGAGGTGGCACCCTGACCCTGGCATCCTGGGAACCTATCCCTAGCTCTGCCTTAAAGCTGGGACTCAAAAACCCAAGAAGTCAACTCTGCTCCTAAGCCCCTACCTACACCACCCTGGGCTGTAGAGGCAAAGCTTGGCACTCAGCAGGCACAGTGCGTAGGTGGTGAGCAGCTGGCAGAGGCAGATCTGAAATCTGGTGCTCCGATGGCACAGCGGTTGGACACGTAAGTCCTGAGTAAGACTGTGGTGGGCTCAAAGCCCAGCTTCGTCTCCTGGTGCTTGTGTGTCTTGGGCAAATGGCTCACCCTCTCTGTGCCTCCATTTGCCTTTTGGTCCATAGGAGATGATGGCTGATGTCAGGAGGGAATTCAAGAAGCCCAGCCAGCTCTGGAGGCAGGCCCAGTGCCTTGGGAGTACTCAGTAAGCAGGTAGGATCTTTAAAGAAATGCCTTAACTCTCCTCCTTCTTATAAGTTGAGGGGTAGCAGGGCATGGGGACACACCCCTTCCTCCTCTTGTGGCCTCAGACAGGCAACCCAGTTAAGCCTGCAGGACCCCTGGACAAAGAAAAGAGCCTGTAGCCCCAGAAACTTCCAAATCCTCGAAGAAGTCAGCTCTGCAAGTCTCGCCTCCCCCGTTTAAGAACCGTTCTGGGACCCCAACGGTGAGCACCCAAGCTTCCCTCAGGTCGGGGCTTGGGAGTAGGCAGCCAGGCCCAGCCTGTGCCCTGAGGGACCTCACAGGGAGGAAGGCTCAGGTCAGCCTGTAGAACTCCAGATCCTGCAGGCCCAACTCTTACCCATAAATGTCCACAAGGGTCTCCACGCCTGCCACGCACACGGCACTGGTGGGATGCTCCAGGGACACGCGCACAATCCTCTGTAGAGACATGCTGGTCTCGGAAGGGGGCTTCAGCCACCAAACCCAGCACTGCCCAGAGGTCCCTGGGGGAAGTGATTTAAAAGTCCCCAGCCCTGCCCCTCCAGCCAAGTGTGCAAGCTCATTGGCTCCAACCCTGAAGGTCCAGCCTCTTCCCAATTCTTTCTTCAGGATTGGCTGGAAGGCTCCTGTTATTTGCATATGAACCTGCTGCTCCCACCTGAGGGCATTCAGGGAATTAACTCCTAGCTGAAGTAGAGCAAGTCCCCACAGGTACTTGGCCAGGGCATCTAGGATGGTTAGGGGCAGGGGGTACGGTATAAGGAGGAGCCTGGGGTTCATCCTGGCCTTTTACTGTCCCCTGCCCCTCCTCTCTGCTGGTCTGAAACAGGGGGTCTGAGGGACCTCTGTATGCTGCTGGGGGAGCTACTGAGAATGTAGGTTCCCAGGCCTGCTCCAACCTGATGCTGGAGAGTGGAAGTACAGGCAGTCTCTATATAGAGAATCCTTTCCCTCCCCTGCCCTCCCCTCCTCTCCCCTCCCTTTCTTTCTTTTCTTGAGATAGGGTCTCAAGTAACCCAGGTTGGCCTCCAGCTCTCTACATAGCCAAGAGTGACCTTGAATTTCTGATCCCCCTGCCTCTACCTCCTAAGTGTTGGGACTGCAGGCATGTGCTACCATACCTGGTTTTATCTGCTGCTGGGGATAGAACCCAGAGCTTCATAGACACTAGGCAGGCACTCTACCAACTGAGCTCCAGCTCCAGCTCCTGCCAGTCTTTCTTTTATTTTTAAATTTATAAATATGTAATTTAACATTCATTTATTTATTATTTATTTATTTATTTATTGTTAAGGGGTACACACATACCCATGGCTTGTATGTTGAGGTCAGAGGACAATTTAAGGAAGTCAACTCTCTCCTTCCACCATGTGGGTTCCAGGGATTGAACTCAGGTTGTCAGGCTTGGTGTTAAGCCTTTGCCTACTGAGCCATCTTGCAGGCTCCCTCACCAGCCTTTCTTAAGAGCCTGAGTTGTTAAGGACCCTGCTAAAGCTAGTTTCTGGCTGGGTAACCTTCGACAAATCACTTAACTGCTCTGTGCTTAAGTTTTCAGAGTCTGAAATGACCCCACATCAGGGAGGTCTAACCCAGGTGTTGGCATGCTTTAGTGCGTACTTACTGACCTTAGAGGTCAAAACCTCTCAAAGGGGTAAATGGATGAAGAGCCTCTCCAGCCAATGGGAGCTGGGAATATTAGCCTAGGGGGCCCACTTGTCAGTAGGGAAACTGAGGCCAGAAGGGGCCCCGGAACACCTAGAACAAGAACGCTGGGAAGAGGAGTCTTGGGTTCGGATCCAGGCTGCACCATGCGGTAGCAAGGTTGTGCCTCTTCTGGGGCCTCAGTTTCCACATCTATAGAAAATGTGGCCAGTCACCTGCACTGGCAGATAATGTCTACTGAGGCTCAGAATGTGCTGAGTAGAGGCCCCTCCCTTCTCCCCGGCTGCTGTCAACCCTCCAGGGCAGGGCAGGGCAGGGACCAGGATCCATTCTCGATTGCCCCAGTCTGAGGGTGCCTCCGATGTCTGGGAGGGGCATTCTTCTCAAAAACAGCCAGGGTCTGGTGGCAGCTTCTGTTTTCTGCTGTCAAATAGCTTAGTGGCCAACTCAGCTCTGGGTAAGAGCTCTGGAGCAAGTCAGACAGCCTCTCTAGCTGGCCTCAGCACATGTGGGAATGGGTACAGAAAGTGGGGACCTGGACCCCCCAAGGGGGCTGACAAACTATGTTGGGCACAAGCCTCCAGATATTCCTTTGGATGTAGAGCCCTGTCTTCAGCTGTTAAATTTCATTTTAATACATTTATTCATTTAATGAGGGAGTGTGCAAGTGCCACGTTATGTATGTGGCAGTCAGAGGATGACTTGTGGGAGTCAGTTCTGTCCTTCCACCATACAGATCTTGGGAATCGAATTCAGGTCATCAGACTTGGCAGCAAGTGCCTTTACCCACTGAACCATGTTGCCAACCCTAGTACCAGCTCTTAGAAATGGTTTGTGGTTCACGCAGGCTTTTAAGGGACTGCTGGACAACTTCTTAGTCCATCACAAAAGCTAAAATAAATGCTTGAGTGTCAAAGGATACAATCTGAGGCAGTGGCCAGTGTGTAAGATGAGAGAACGTTGTGTTTTCAGGTCCTCAAATCAGACCACCGAGGTTGAGTAACAGCATGGGATTCAGGGCTGCGGAATTACTGTGTCCCGGGCACCAGCCCTCTTGGAGAATCATCCCCCTCTACCAACAAGATCTGGAATGTCCCCAAGCTCTTTTCAGGTTCCCTGACAGATGGAGGATAAGGCCAGGGAAAGAGGATAGGAAAAGGCAGGTCCCTCCTCAGATAGCATCTCAGCAAGCAGTGGAGCCCTGGAGCAGCTGTCATGTGCAAACCGCACTGCTGAATCAGTCCCTGCCCAGGACGATGCCCAGCTGGCAGGGGCTGCCTGTGGCTTGCAGAAGCTGAGTCCAGGCGCTGGTGGCAGGGTATGTGAACAGGGATGCGAAAGCCCCTCATTTTCCTCCCCATTCCCCCAGCCCAGCACAGAGACAAGGGAGACACTCACATAAAGAAATGCACACTGGTATTTTTATTGATCAGAAAGAGGGTAGTTGGTCACCCAGGACCCCAGACTGCCCTGACTGCAACTCCAGAAGGCTTGCTCCCCAGGGCTCTGCAGAGTCCCCTCTTCTCTACCACACCAGCCTCCTCTAGGTAAGTCCAGGCCCTGCCCACCCCCCTTCGCTCCATCTGTCTCCTTTCTCCTTCTCCATGGCTCAGCCTCAGCTGGGTCACGATCATAGAGGAGGGTGCTGATGTCAAGAGCCTGCAAATGAGATTCCAGCTCCATAGAACCTTCTGGAAGGGGAGGAGCCAATAACTACCTGGCTTCATCCACCTTAACAGTTACAGGGAAGCCTTTGCTTACTAAGTGCCCTGAGGCTAGAAAATGACAGCAACTGCTCTAGTCTGGAATCTCTCCAGGGGTCACCATAAAATGCAGAGAAAAGTCCAGGAGCTAGCAGCCTTTGGTAGCCCCTTGGTCAGAGTTTTGAGAAAGAAGGCAGGCTGGTTCCCTCCATCAGCCCTGCCCTGTGGCCCTGTTGGCCAGCCTGCCTGCCTACACATGCCTCTGTGATCTCACCCAGAGCTATTAGCCTCACAGGAGCAGCCGTCTGTCCAGGGGGGGAACATGGGCCTGCCACAGGGTTTACTCAGGCAGTACAACTGGGTGCAGGGTCCCAGGCTGCTGGGGGAGCTCTGGCCCTCCCCTCCTACTGCCGGCAGCAGGTTGGGGAGTAATTACAGACTATTAGAGGAAATTAAGCCCCACCTCCAGATGAAACCTAATCTACCCCACCTCCAGATGGAACCAACCTCCTGTCCCACCCTATTCTAACACCTGAGCTCCATCCTCTCCACATCTGGAACAGTCAGCTGCCTTCAGATTCCAAGACCCCAAATGCCCAGACAAGAGCCCCAGGTTGCAGGGGTGCAGAGGTTTCCAGTCCCCTATACACACCCCACTGAGCAACCCTGCCTTCCTGCCCCAGACCTCCTGCCCGGGCTTCCCTCTGCCCCCAGCATCTTCCAACCGGAAACACGAGCTCTGGTAATTAAAGGCTGTCCAGACAGGTAACAGGTAACAAGCACCCTGTGGTGGACAGGGTGGATAGAGTCAGGTATTAAAGAGCCTTTGCTGCTTGCTCCTGTCCCTTTTTGAAAGAGGCCCTCGGACACCAGGTTTTCCTGTCCTTGATTACCTACACAGAGCTGAAGGTGCCAAGGAGGTCACTGCCTGGGGTCCCCTTTGGAAAAAGGACACCTCAAACTTTCCCTTTTGTCTTATACAATCCAATCACTCTCACTCCAGGGTCCAGGTACAGGGGGTGGGTGGTGGGGTATCTCTGAAGCAGATCCAAAGTCATTTTCCTCAGGCCCCAGAGAGATGTCCAAATAGAGGGGAACAACTCAAAGTGGGGTCCACCTGTAGAGGCCATGCCTGAACATATTCAGTTGCCAGCCTTGAACCCCTGGGGGCTGTGGCTGGGAAGAGGAAAGGAAAAGTGAGAACAGGCCTCCCCACTGGGCTGGGTAGGCCGATCTGGAGGTGAGAAAGGGCTGTGGCCCCCTGGAGCCCACTGACAGCAGTGGCCAGCTGGCTTTTAGGTCCCAGGAGGAGGCAGTCTGGTTCATGGTCTTTGCCCTCACCCTGGGACTCCCCAGCAGCAGGGCAGTGAGGATGGTGGCTGAGCAGGTTCACGGCACCATGTTCCACCATTTGAAGGCAAAGGGTTTCCGACACACGTTGGTGCCACAGTGAATCTCCCCAAGCAGCTGGTGGTAGGACAGGAAATCATCGATAAAGATGTAGTGCAGGCCCAGAGGTTCCAGCAGGGAGCGAACCTTCTCCTCCAGGCAGCAGCGGCCATTGATGAGGGGTCCAAAGGGCTTAGGGATTCCCAGGTATTTGCCCAGGACCACCATGTTGACCTGCAAGAAAGAAGAGGCAGAGGGGGCTACATTGGTGGTGGGCACACCACATCCTAAGCCCTTTCTGGTCTCTGACTCTGCCACTCTGTCCCCTGGGCTCCTCATCCTCACTGGAAGTCCTGACCACCAGGATTTTTCCCCCTCCGCACTGTTGGTTGTTGTAAGGAGAAAAGCAAGAGACACGTGTATGTGTGCTGTGCTGCACAGAGACCATCGGGTCCTGACGGCGGGGGATGTGGCGGTGGAAAGCCCGTGGTTACTGCCAGGCTGGAGGCTGGACCTCAGGGACAGCCAAGGACCCAGAAGTCCATTCCCAGTGTGCACCTACCTTCCAGGGACCCAGGTACCACCCCCTCCAGCCTGCACCTGTACCTGTCCCCTAACTCACTTCTCCCCTGGGCTTGTCCCAGCGATGCACCCAAGCTAAAGGCACAGGAGAAAAGCACGGCCACTCCCCGCCCCAAGGCCCACCCCTCACAGAGGCCAGTGCCCACATCCTTTTCTGGCAGGAAATGGGCCTGTGGATGGCTCAGGCCCCTCCCAGGTGAGGTCACGGCCTCATCTGTGTGTCAGCTGCCCAGCTAATGACAGCCAGGAGGTGGCCACTTGCCCCACCTGCCAGACCCAGGAACCCTGACAAGTGAGTCTCTATGGGAGCCTGGAGCTAGAACCAGGGAGGGAGCAGAATAGACAAAAACGCCTTCAAAACAGAAAGTGGAAACATCGTGTTCTCTATTCCATTTTGAAAATGACAGCCCCCTGCAGTGGGCCTGGCCTGACCATCATAAGGTGTTCAGCAATTTCCCCCACCACTGCCCACCAAGTACCAAAGGCTCCAACTCCCTGTGGCCAACCCGGGGCCCACACTCTGCCCTGCCTGCCCACCTGTCCACCCTCCCACCCACCAAGGACCCTCACCATGTCGGGGAAGAAGGCCTCGGCATAGGCGCCTTTCAGGAAGAAGAGCTGTGGGATGTCGATGATGTCGCCCTCCACCAGGCCCAGCTCCCTCTTCAGTACCTCACGGTTCCAGTCAATGCATTTCTGGGAGGAGAGAAGAATCTGAGTGCACTGCACCTGCATGACCCTGAGAGCCCATGGGTGCCTCAGAGCCTCTGGATGGCTTTGTGTGGTAGGGGTCACTGCTGCCTGAGTGAGGAAACTGAGGCCCAACTGCACAAAGCCCAAGCAGAGGGGGCTGAGCTGTGGCTTGGACTTAGGCAAATTCTGGTTCTGAAGGTCCCTTTCACTTGATTGTGTGTGTGTGTTGTGTGTGTGTGTGTGTGTGTGTGTGTGTGTGTATGCGTATGCACATACGTATGTCAGTCTGTTTTTCTTTTCATCATGTAGGATCTGGGGATTGAACTTAGGTCCTCTGGCTTCATGACAGGTACCTTTACTGGCTAAGCCATCTCACTGGCCCTCTGTCATTTTAACATACTATCCTAACCATACCGTGGCTATAGACATACCATACTCGTTTGGGGAACATGCTGGGTATGGTACAGAGAGGTCAAGGAGCCACCTCTCCCTCACTGAGCCCAGCACCATGTGTGTGGGAAGTCCTGTCCCTTCCCAGACCTGTCCCACCTGCTGTCTGCACAACTCACATTCACACCTGCCCAGTGAGGTCTTGAATTCGCCTCTGTGGAAATGGATTACTTCCCCAGAGCCAGCCAACCCCAGGTTCCTGGAGCGCAGCTTCTTCCTCCAGACTACGGGCTCCAAAGGACAGGGCTCTCTCCATACTCCTATCCCAACAGCCTTCAGGACAAGCCTAGGCTAGTCCCTGGCCCCCATGCCCGGAGCCTTGGCTGGGGCTGCATATCCCCTCATCACACAGCCATGGTCCAGCCCCTACCTGCAATCCTGCCCACCTGCACATGCAGACTGTCTCTCCTGAGGTGTCTGTCAGCTAAAAACTCATTGATGCTTCTTTTCATCTTGTGCTTTAACCCTGTGAAAGACAGACTGTGTGTGGGCTTGGGGATGCTGCCCAGGGGCCCTTGTGCTAGGAGCAGCACTATGCAGGCCAGCCACACTGATGGAGCCAGATGAGGAAAGAGAGGCTGGACATGGAGGGGCTGGCTCCAGCTGTGGGTGAGACCTGGCAAAAGATCAGAAACACCAGGAAAAGCTCCCCAGGGGCTCCACGCAGCTCCCATTCCTGACCACCCACACCCACCGGGAGGCCTATTAATTCCTTACTAATCTTTAAAACAATCCTAGGAGGGGTAATTATCACTTCCAATTAAGAGAAGGGAAACCAAGGCTCTGAGAGGTACAAAACATAACCCACTTCTGGTAAGGGACAGGCTAGGGTCTGAACACAGGGTGGTTCCCGAAGTGGGCTCCATTTTTTCCTTCTCTCCCAAAGCCCAGTCAAGGGGTTGCCTCACTGTCAGAGGGTCTGGGGCAACTCTCTGGCCCCTCAGCTTCCCATCCCTGACTCAGAACCTAGAGTGCCTTCCTCCTTGGTTCCCAGGAGACTGCAGTGTCTGAGGTGGCCCAGGATCTGCAGATGAGGGCTCTGTCCAAGGGCATGCTTGTGAGAGGCAGCTCAGAGATGGTAATGAAAGGGCAGGGTCCCCAACAGATGACAGATGACAGAGCCTTGGCACTCACCATCAAACTGTGCCGCCTCCCCATAGCCCTCCTCTTTCTTTTCCTGGAACAGCTGGAGGCAGGCGCTGGGGCTGGCCAGGAGCAGCCGGAAACCCTGTCATTAAAAGGGATGAATGGCTCAGTGTATGGATCCAATAGATGCCAGAGACCCCCAAGCACAGAAAGCCCCACCCCCACCCCCCATTCCACCATCCAAGTGGTTATACCTCCAGGCCCTCTTCTGCACTAGCTTCCCTGCCTAGAGCCCTGCTCACTTTGGCTGCCAGGGAACTCAGTTCTTGCCTTCTACTTAATCCAGCTGTGTCCTTCCCTACTCTAGCTGCTCCCTGTACCTACCCCCATCAGAGCACTTGCCACACTGGGCCAGAATCATCCCCCATCAGGAAGCCTCTCCTTCCAGGGGAGGCTCCCTGAGGGCCATGCCTATCCCACTACCCTCTGTAAGAGCAGTGAATCTCAGTGGTTAACACAGAGACCAGAGCCTATATTAAGACTGGAATCCTCCCCTGCTACCCGTGGGCTGTGTGGACCTGGTGTGACTGTAGAGCCCTCCTGAACCTCAGTTTCCTTATCTCTAAAGTGGGGACAATAATGGGTTTCTTGGAGGATAACATGAACAAAAGTGTGAATTTGGGGCCTGGAGAGATGGCTCAGTGATTAAGAGCACTGGCTGCTCTTGCAGAGGACCCCAGCTCAGTTCCCAGTCTCCACATGGTGGCTAACAACCATCCTTAGCTCCAGTTCCAGAGGATCTGATGCCCTTTTCTGGCCTCTGTGGGCACTGCATGCATGGGTGCACTTACAGAGATGCAGGCAAACACTCATACACATACAATAAAAATAAATTAATAGCCGGATGTGGTGGCGCATGCCTTTAATCCCAACACTCGGGAGGTAGAGACAGGTGGATCTCTGTGAGTTCAAGGCCAGCCTGGTCTACATAGTGAGTTCCAGGACAGCTGGGGCTACAGGGAGACCC